TTTCAATAATTTCTCTTCAGGTTCTTACAATTATAAAATATAATATTTGTTGTCGTTACAATAATGACAGCCAATAATGCAGCAGATACATTCTTAACGTAGAATAACAGATTAGTAGTTGTGGGGTATCAAAATACATAGTCGTATTCGTGTGACAAACGTGCTAGGCTGAATTCGATTACAAAATATTGTAAAACGGGAGACAATGGTGGTGATTAATCATAATAGATTTGTAGAGTGTGGGGTAGGAAAATTGACAAGTCAGTTCAAGGTTATAAAAAGATGTCAGGTGAGTGGCTAGTACAAAGTGGTCTGTGTTAAACAGGAGATAGTAAGACTGCAATGAGAGGTTCATAATGAAATAACGAATATGCGAAATGAAACAGGTGGAGGCATATATTGAGAAAAGAGATAATATCACTAATAATAAGTCCGGATAGTATAAACGAAAAATTTGATAGTATTGAGAGAATGTTTGCATGAAGGGCATAAATTATGACGAATAATATATAATAATAATAATTGTAATAATAATAATATTTGTAATAATAAGCAAAGGAAAAAAAGCCAAGAGGGTTAAGGGGAAGGAGCACTCTTGGTGAGAAGAAGAATCATCAATCCAAGTTTGGCCACGGTAGGAACAGCGTCTGGACGTGTTCCTTTTGCATAAAATGTTCCGGTTTAGTCGATCTTATTGCAACAGCTTCAGCTATATGTAGAAGATGCAAGCGAGCTGTACGTGATAACGACTTCGGAATTCGGTATACAACCCTGAAAGCTGTGTTGACATTGATATGATGTCCAGTATCGACATAATTTATGCCCTTCATGCAAACATTCTCTCAATACTATCAAATTTTTCGTTTATACTATCCGGACTTATTATTAGTGATATTATCTCTTTTCTCAATATATGCCTCCACCTGTTTCATTTCGCATATTCGTTATTTCATTATGAACCTCTCATTGCAGTCTTACTATCTCCTGTTTAACACAGACCACTTTGTACTAGCCACTCACCTGACACCTTTTATAACCTTGAACTGACTTGTCAGTTTTCCTACCCCACACTCTACAAATCTATTATGATTAATCACCACCACTGTCTCCCGTTTTACAATATTTTGTAATCGAATTCAGCCTAGCACGTTTGTCACACAAATACGACTATGTATTTTGATACCCCACAACTACTAATCTGTTATTCTACGTTAAGAATGTATCTGCTGCATTATTGGCTGTCATTATTGTAACGACAACAAATATTATATTTTATAATTGTAAGAACCTGAAGAGAAATTATTGAAAAGAATATTCTTCGTTCAGATTGACTTTTAATTTACCACATTATTATTATTATCATTATTATTTGATTCCCCAAATCACCGTCATTGGTTAAAAAAGTTTTTAAAAACAAGAGATGTCCTTTTTATATATTAACCAAGTGGTCTAGTGGATAACGCTTTGGCATTTGAAACTATGGCCACTGGGTTCGAGCTTCGGTGGGAACATCATCACTCACTGGGAAATGCAGGTACGTCCAGATGACGAGTCCCAAATAGAATGAAATACGCATCCTGGATTCCACCTCTAGGCACCATCCACAAATTAAATTTGTTATTTTAATTTCGATTAATTCCCCTGAAGAAGTTCGGACCCATTTGCCGAACGAAACGTTGGAATTAATCATTTCAATTTCGCTGAGATTTCACAAATATGATTTTCGCATATGCCTACTTCTCACTCGACGTCCAATCATTCTGGACGCAGTTCATATGGCTTCATGTGATCATTTCACATCTGATGTTTTTGGGGCAAACTACGATCGCCATGCTTGGTTCTGCTTAGTGAGAAAAATATATCATCTTAAACTTATGTTTATTTTAGACTGTCTTTAGGCGAAGGTAAATCACAACGACAACAACAAAAATTGAGCGCACTTTGCTTTTCAAATGTTTTTTTTTTATATCAGGAGGTGTTGAAGGCATTCTAAGTACGAGACAAATCAATACAGACATACATGTGCATGTTTGAATGTCAGCCTGCAATCAATAATTAATTCGACCAATAGTTTTAAAGCTGCAGTTTAGCCCGGATTTTAATTGGTCGAAAAATTGCATGTCTATCCTACCTGACCGACTTAATTGACGTTCAAATGACCTTATGGCATTGATGTTGACTTGACAGCAGTGACCTGATTGTGTCGTATTAATTATCTTTGTAGCTTTTCAGCATGACAGTAAGTTACTATTCAGTTTATTCAGTTATTTGATTTTATTTGTATCCAACTCCCTTTTTATTCATTTTACTGTCACGAAATATACCCTTAAATTCATTAGGAAAATCACAGTTTTTGATCAACGAAGAAACCTATTTTCAGCGACTTCATTTTCAAGCTATACAGTCGTATTTATACTACGGAATAAGGCCTTAAGTGGCACTAGAAATTGTTCAGTCAATGTACATATGGTAATAAAGATAATTAAAATGATGTATTAAGGATAGCACGTTAAAAAGGTTGATTTATAGAAAGCCAACATTTACAAGTACATTCGGAAATAATAATATTAGTGTTATCAATAAAATACAATAAGATGGTAAGCGAAATAAGATGTTTTTATAGTAAAAATAAATAAGTAACTTGTTAGAATGTTATAATGTGAATGGGATACATTTTAACACTATTTATCATCCTCCTCTGATCTGACTGGCAGTAATAATATCTTCCATACATATCTCTGGTATTTGCGTTGAGTCACTTCTATTGGATGTGTTGGGTGTAAACTCAATGAACAAGGTAGGATTCAGTTATCAACCCTTGTCTCTCTTCACCTACCTTTATTATTTTTTAGAATTTTAACCCTGTCCCACCACCCTACTGTGTGTTAATGCATGCAGTGCGATCGCTGAGCTTTTTTCCTGAATTACTTATCTTCGTGAGTGGTATCAATCATTCTAACCTTAGCTAAATTCTTATGTTCTGATAATCTCACTACTACTGATCTACTAGTTTGATTGATCCCACGAAGACAAGTAACTTAGAAAAAAACTCAACACTGCATTGCACTGCGTGCATTAACACATAACCACAAAATAGAGTGTGTGGGACAGAGTCGAAATTCTAAGAAGCAATGTGGGTGGGTGGGTGGAGAGAGAGACTGATTACTGACTCCTGGTTCATCGAGTCTACACCCTACACGTGCAATAGAAGTTACTCAATGCAAAAACCAGAGATATGGAAGATATTATTACTGCCAGTTAAATCAGAGGATAATAAATAATTTTAAAATGTATACAATTCACACTATAACATTCTAACAAGCTACTTATTTATTTTACTATGAAAACATCTTATTTTCCATCTGATTGTATTTTATTGATAACACTAATATTATTATTTCCGAATGTACTTAATCTTATATTTATTCTATTCTTATATTTACTTATTCTAATCATCAATTTTTACTCTTATATATAAATGAAGCAAGAAAGTTGTGTGAGTAGTGCTTTGATATGATTATTAGCAGGCATAAATTGTGCTCGAAACGTGGTCATATCAGTAAATATTACTTACTGTATAACACCACTGTGTGACTTTATCAAAATAAAATATTATCCCTAATGAAGTTATACTCTACCACCAGAGTGCTCAAGTTTTATCCTTATATCAGTTGATCAGATAAGTTGATAATTTAGTCAGCCAAGTAGAGAGGAAATATGAATTCATTTAAATTTTCTCTGCACTAAGTTTTGCCAACAAGCTTACAGATAACCTTTGAATAAAATTCTTTATAAATACTGCATATTTCCCCTCAGTATTATGTTCTATTTTTGATTTGTACACCTGAGTTTTCTATCGGAAAAACCACTCTGCTTTTATCCGAATGTGTATAGATTGTGAAAATAGCTAGACAATTAGAATGTTGGTCGATCGATCGATAGCAGTTGATAATCGCGCACACACGTTGAGTAGCTACTGTAACACAGTCAATGCATTCCTGTACATTAACAAGAATTTAGCTGCCATGATAAGTCTTATTTACTTGATAAGTAAAGTAGTTTATCAAGAGTTCATGTTTTACGAGGATTTGGGTATCATTTTGAAGTTAGAGAATACTTGAAAATTACGAGGATATTGGCTACCTGTTTTGTCACAATTGGCAACTCTTCAGCCATGTGCATTTATTGTCCTACAAGGGATCAAATCAAAGACCTTCACTTTACAAGGTGACTATAGTAGGATGCGGATACTGAATTAAAATTTAAAGGCCTTAAGCTTTGGTCCCTAGTGTGATTATACATGAACAGTGCTCAGTGGGAAGTCTTATACTCTTTCGACCTTTTAAATAAAGTTATTTTGTGAATCAAATTCATCATTGAGTGTAGACATTTTGTAAAAATCTACTTGGAATACATTCAGTTATTTGAATTTTAAAACAAAATGTACTAAAATATCATAAATACGATTATTGTTAGACAATTACACGGATTAAAATGCGAGATAATTTTCAATAACAAAATTATACGTATATAAATCAAATAATTACTTAAACTATAACTCACCAGTGCGTCGGTGGCACAGCAGTAGAATGCTCGCCAACCATGCCTCATGTGGTCGGGGGTTCAATCCCCGGCCACTGACGCACTCCCAAACCTAGCTAAGCCAATAATGCGACTGGTAAAGAGGGAAGGTTTTTTTTTGATTTCTGATTTTGCCTTGATTCCACACCGTATTTTTGGTAGAAGTATGGAATTTTCATCATGTGATGTCGGTAGCCGAAATTTCGTTGGCCGACCATTGATATCGGGTGTGCGTCGGCAAGAGATCGAACCCCGGACCATGTGCATGGTCGGCGAGAGTCCTAACCGCTGTGCCACTGACGCATGAGCATGAGGCTAGCAATCCCAGCCCGTAAAAATAAACACCACTGCTAGCTTCCAGCTTGAAGGTGCCCTATGTTCCACTGGGAACGTAAAGGAGTAAAAAAATAATAACTCACCAGTTGGCAGAATAACTGGAACAATACTTGTAGCTGGTCTGGTAGCCAGAGAGAATTCAACAAAACTGTATGTGGGAAATCCATCATATGTTACTGTAGGTGTTGTAGCAGACGGTGATAGTGTATTGTTGACGCCTGTTGCTACTGTTGTTGTCGTTGTCGTTGTTTCCGGTGGTACTGCTGTTGTATCCCCGGTATCTTCAGGTTCTGGTTCTTTAAAAGTAAATATTGAAAATTATTGAACCTGTTATCATAGCATACATTTTTCATACTGTCTCAAAAAGATTAAATGGGGTTATGCCATTGATTAATATATAATAAAATTAGGTTATATGATTATGTCTCTAGTGTCACACAAATATCTCAAACATCTACAGATGAAAACCAACAAGTTGGCAGAAGAGGCTGTCAATGAGGATAGGATTTCAAGTGAACAGAGAGAAGACAGAGGTGATGAAGAAACCCAACAACCAGTCAATCAACCAACCAACCAACAATAACAAGTACCAATCACTATCAACGGGAGTAACCCGAAGGAAGTTACCTCTTTCACTTATCTGGTGGCTAGGCAGAATCGTTTCAAATTACAGGTGACACATGTATAGGATGTCAAAGTCAGACAGGATTGTAAATCTCTAATTTTCAGCACTTATGTTAAGTCAGTACTTTCATCATATGATTCAGAGACTTGTGGCTACTGCAGATGTTTTCTTGATATTGAAGAAACGGTAAACGAAAAAAAAATAACAGGCGATGAACTAACCAGAAACCTACAACCGAACAAAATATGTAGGAGGAAATGGAGATCTATTGGATATATGTATGTTGAGAAGACTGTTGAATAGCATCACACACGTCAGGCTGGCACTCTAGGCGGGGGGGGGGAAATCTAAATGGGAAGCAAACTGTTAGGTGACGCTTCAAGGCTGATATGAGAAAGGTTGTTGGCAGTTATCCAGCCAGTTAAAATACGACTCCAGAGAACAGAGTAAAAAAGAGTGACGTATTCCACTTGGAACTGAGAAGTGTGATGATGATTATGATGATAATAATAATATAAATATGCCTTTGTTAGCTTATTTTGAGCATTATTTTATCAATCAATTAGGATTGATTTTCCTGTCACTTGGAAAAAAGGAAATAAATAGTCAGCTGAGTATGGTTCACGATGTACACAGCCAATTGACATTTTGACAGCTCTACTTGTTGATATTAGATAAATTCTCCATAATGGTTAATTTCTTTACACTACTATACATATTTTCTATAGTTGGTTTGTAAGGATTAGTTTTGTTTTTACGAGTTGATCAGGGATTGATATCAGTTAGAGAAAACCATTGAAAACCATCCGGAGAGTACCCCAGTGGGTGCGTACTGCCGATGATTCCCAAACTGGGATAATACAGATGTCCAGTACTCCCTGCTTTTCAAGGGTTCTGTAACTGATATATACATGTCATAAGATTTGTTCCTTTAATAAATATGAATACAGCGATTTAGGCATATTGGTATGATTTGCAATTAACAGTGTTCTCTGAGCTGGTTGGTTTAGTTGCAAAGCTTTCGTCGCCCTTCTGGACAACATCTTCAGCGCCATATTTAGCACAAAGTGAAATGATTTAAATTTCTTCATGAGTGATGTAATTGCGTCTCCTGGTAACTATCTTTACATATGTATTGACCATTTTCTATTGACTTGGATTTTAAACTTTCTGGTCACCTGATTTACTTTTTATTAGTTGGTATATTTCATCTATATTAACGTGTTTGTTAATTGCATTTTCGCTTGAGTACCAGGCTTCTAGGAATTCCTCTGTTTAAGATTTTGACATGATCCCAATCAAATTGATGACCATAATTGTCTATATGCATTAATACTAAAGAATACATATCATGTCTTTTCACGGCTGATTTATGTTATTGGATTCTGATTCAAAGGGGAAGCCCAATTTGGCCGATGTAATGTTTGTTGCAGTTCATACAATTTATTTTGTAAATGGTATTAATTTTATCCCCTTTTTCTGTTGGATCTTTTGGTTTGCATAATATCGAATTAAGCGATTTTACTGGTTTGTGTGCTATATTTATATCTAACGGTTTCAGTATTCTAGCTGTTATTTCAGAGATATTCCTCATGTATGGTATGATTCTTTGTCAACTGGGTTTATATTACACCTCTAGCAGACCCTTTAGGATGTCTTTACTGTCTAGGGGTGAGATTTTCCCAATAAGCAGATGAATAAGACTGTAAAGCTTCCTCAAATTGATAAAATTGTAATCATTGCAAGGTTAATGTATAGACGAAATTGATAGGTAATAATATACAATGTTTTGTAACTCAATGATTGATGAGTATATTAGATTATAGGAAAACTAAATAGTCACTGAATTCACTTTGAACTTTCCCGTTGATTGATTGCACTGGTGTGCTCGGCCAAGGTGTGTGTGTAGGTGTGTGAAAGAGAGAGGGTACTTCCATGATGTCTGGAGATTCAACCTGAGACAATTTTGTGGATGATAACAAGCAGTGGAATCCAGGATGTGCATTTCGTCTCTGACTCCATCACTGACTAACCATCTAGATGTACTGAAATAAACAAAAAAGTTGATATCCATTGCAAAACAAACAGGTGGTTTTCGTGGATCAGCATGTCTGGTGGTTCTGAAGTTCTGACGTTTGAGACTAAACGTGCTATGTGTGAGGCTCATTAGGAATACTATCAATCACCGAGGAATGCAGGTGTTTCCAGAAGATGAGCCCCAAATAGGACGAAATGAGCTTACTGGATTCCATCGCTAGTCAAAATCCATCAAACTAAGGAGTTATTCTACATTATTTTATGGCTTTTAAACCTTTATCAATAATCTGAAAGTCTGAATGACTGATTATTTTCCATCATCGAATTTTTCCACCAGACGTGGAGCACATCAATCTGTTTTATTCTACTTAGTAAACAAAGCAATTAAATATAGAACAGAAATGTGCCGTAAGAAAGAATAGTAGCATGGGCAAAATCGAATTAAGCCTCTATAGTTCAGTGGTCAGAGCACTAGTCTTGTAAACCAGGGGTCGAGAGCTCAATCCTCCCTGCGGGCAGACGCTTTTGGACATAAATAGGTTACAAATAACTTTCATCTCGCAAATGCATCTATAATCTATTGTTCGGTTTGTATTAATCGGTTGAGATGTGACCTCTATTGGTATTATCTACTCTTGTGTGTATTTCAAATGTTGACAAGCTTCTGTTTCTCAAGTTCCTACTAAACTTGAAAGAGACAAAGCAGATATGTATCACAATGGAATGGTTTCTGTTACAGCGCACAGACCATTGTGTCAAGGAAAGGTATAGTGTCAATTGATATTTTACTTGAAGATATTCTATTGAGGGAAAATATTATCTTATAAACTCCTCTGAAAGTCCTGTAAATCTTCTAAATTCTGTCCAGAAGAGATATTATTATTATTATTTAAAGCATCACCAACAATGGTCGCCAGCCATCGGTTCTGATTCTCCTGAGATAGTCTACACCGCCCTATGTGGCTACCTCAAATGAAACGTCGAAGGCTTTATAGCTTGATGCCAGGTTTTGCTTTGATCACTCCTGCTTGATTTGGCATCTTGTTTCGAATTTAGTAATTATATACAAGCAATGATGAAAGAAAAGTGGACTAAGGAAACCGGCTGATATCTCTAGGATAAATACGTGTCAAATCATAGGTTGAAAAATTTGAAGAACGATCTCCTATGAGAATTATTAAAAGAAAGACAGAAATGCTAGTACCTTCACATAATATCGCCTCTAAAAAAGGATATTAACCTACCATTGAAATATCTACATACCAACGTGAAGGATGATAAACACACTTTCCACGGTGGGGAACATACTCGATTGTATAAATAAAAAAAATTACACGAAAAAACTCACGAGAAGAAGAGGAGGAAACAGATGACGAACCAGCTGAAAGAGAAAAACTCGGGATAGAAACTGTTGAAACAGACGAAAGAAACACTGATGGTGATGTTGATGTTAGTGATGTTTGAGTTGAGGTTTGAGGTGTTCTAGAGGAGAGTTGTTGTGTGAGGGCTGATGTTTGAGAGGTGAGTGTGATTGTGGGTGTTCGTGTTGGTGTTGGTAGTGTTGCAGGTGTTGATCCGGTGAATTGTGGAGTGGATGAGAAGTTGGCGATTGCGATGGGGGGTGATTGTGTTTGAGGAGTGGGTGTTGTGGCATTGAGTGTTGACGTGTGTATTTGAGTAGTTGTGGGCGTTTGTGTTTGTGAAGAGATTGGTGAGGAGGTAGTTGTGTTAGCGGTGATTGGTGGTGGCGTGGTCGTTGGTGAAACTGTAGGAGTGACTGTGGCTGTGGCTGTGAGTGTTGGTGTGGGAGTGGGTGTCGGTGATGGTGTGGATATGAGTATGGGTATTGGTATTGGTGTAGCTGGTGCGTTTGTTGTTGAGATTGGTGATGTGGGCGGAGACGTGGGTGACGTGGATGTTGATTGTGGAGATGGTGTTGGCGAGAGTGATGGTGATGTTAGTGATGTTTGAGTTGACGTTTGAGGTGTTGTGGAGGAGTGTTGTTGTGTGAGGGCTGATGTTTGAGAGGTGAGTGTGATTGTGGGTGTTGGTGTTGGTGTTGGTAGTGTTGCAGGTGTTGATCCGGTGAATTGTGGAGTGGATGAGAAGTTGGCGATTGCGATGGGGGGTGATTGTGTTTGAGGAGTGGGTGTTGTGGCATTGAGTGTTGACGTGTGTATTTGAGTAGTTGTGGGCGTTTGTGTTTGTGAAGAGATTGGTGAGGAGGTAGTTGTGTTAGCGGTGATTGGTGGTGGCGTGGTCGTTGGTGAAACTGTAGGAGTGACTGTGGCTGTGGCTGTGAGTGTTGGTGTGGGAGTGGGTGTCGGTGATGGTGTGGATATGAGTATGGGTATTGGTATTGGTGTAGCTGGTGCGTTTGTTGTTGAGATTGGTGATGTGGGCGGAGACGTGGGTGACGTGGATGTTGATTGTGTAGATGGTGTTGGCGAGAGTGATGGTGATGGTGATGTTGATGTTAGTGATGTTTGAGTTGACGTTTGAGGTGTTGTGGAGGAGAGTTGTTGTGTGAGGGCTGATGTTTGAGAGGTGAGTGTGATTGTGGGTGTTGGTGTTGGTGTTGTAGTGTTGCAGGTGTTGATCCGATGAATTGTGGAGTGGAGGAGTAGTTGGCGATTGCGATGGGGGGTGATTGTGTTTGAGGAGTGGGTGTTGTGGCATTGAGTGTTGACGTGTGTATTTGAGTAGTTGTGGGCGTTTGTGTTTGTGAAGAGATTGGTGAGGAGGTAGTTGTGTTAGCGGTGATTGCTGCTCCCGTGGTCGTTGGTGAAACAGTAGGAGTGACTGTGGCTGTGGCTGTGAGTGTTGGTGTGGGAGTGGGTGTCGGTGATGGTGTGGATATGAGTATGGGTATTGGTATTGGTGTAGCTGGTGCGTTTGTTGTTGAGATTGGTGATGTGGGCGGAGACGTGGGTGACGTGGATGTTGATTGTGGAGATGGTGTTGGCGAGAGTGATGGTGATGTTAGTGATGTTTGAGTTGACGTTTGAGGTGTTGTGGAGGAGTGTTGTTGTGTGAGGGCTGATGTTTGAGAGGTGAGTGTGATTGTGGGTGTTCGTGTTGGTGTTGGTAGTGTTGCAGGTGTTGACCCGGTGAATTGTGGAGTGGATGAGAAGTTGGCGATTGCGATGGGGGGTGATTGTGTTTGAGGAGTGGGTGTTGTGGCATTGAGTGTTGACGTGTGTATTTGAGTAGTTGTGGGCGTTTGTGTTTGTGAAGAGATTGGTGAGGAGGTAGTTGTGTTAGCGGTGATTGCTGCTCCCGTGGTCGTTGGTGAAACAGTAGGAGTGACTGTGGCTGTGGCTGTGAGTGTTGGTGTGGGAGTGGGTGTCGGTGATGGTGTGGATATGAGTATGGGTATTGGTATTGGTGTAGCTGGTGCGTTTGTTGTTGAGATTGGTGATGTGGGCGGAGACGTGGGTGACGTGGATGTTGATTGTGGAGATGGTGTTGGCGAGAGTGATGGTGATGGTGATGTTGATGTTAGTGATGTTTGAGTTGACGTTTGAGGTGTTGTGGAGGAGTGTTGTTGTGTGAGGGCTGATGTTTGAGAGGTGAGTGTGATTGTGGGTGTTCGTGTTGGTGTTGGTAGTGTTGCAGGTGTTGACCCGGTGAATTGTGGAGTGGATGAGAAGTTGGCGATTGCGATGGGGGGTGATTGTGTTTGAGGAGTGGGTGTTGTGGCATTGAGTGTTGACGTGTGTATTTGAGTAGTTGTGGGCGTTTGTGTTTGTGAAGAGATTGGTGAGGAGGTAGTTGTGTTAGCGGTGATTGCTGTTCCCGTGGTCGTTGGTGTAGCTGTGTCTGAGGCTGTGGTTTTAGCTGGGGGTGTGAGTGTTGGTGCGGGATCTGCTTTCGGTGGTTGTGGGCATATGTGTGTTGGTATTGGTGTAGGTTCAGCTGATGCGTTTGTTGTTGCGATTGTTGATAGCGACGGTGAGGTGAGTGACGTGGATGTTGATTGTGGTGATGGTGTTGGCGAGAGTGATGGTGATGGTGATGTTGATATTAGTGATGTTTGAGTTGACGTTTGAGGTGTTTGAGTGGAGGGTTCTTGTGTGTGGGCTGATGTTTGAGAGGTGGTTGTGAGTGTTGGTGTTGGTAGTGTAAGTGTTGATCCGGTGAATTGTGGAGTGGAGGAGATGTTACCTATAGGGAGTGTTGATTGTGTTTGACGAGTGGTTGTTGTGGCATGAGGTATTGGCGTGTGTATTTGAGGAGTTTTCGATGTTTGTTTTTGTGAAGGGATTGGTGAGGATGTAGTTGTGTTAGCGGTGGTTGATGCTTTCGTCGTAGTCGGTGTAGCTGTGTCTGAGGCTTTGGTTGTAGCAGTGTTTGTGAGTGTTGGTGCGGGATCTGCTTTCGGTGGTTGTGGGCATATGTGTATTGGTTTTGGTGTAGGTGTAGCTGATGCGCTTGTTGTTGGGATTGTTGATGTAGCCGGAGACGTGGTTGACGTTGATATTGATTGTGGTGATGGTTTTGTCGAAAGTGATTGTAATGTTGATCTTGGTGATGTTTTATTGATTGATGGATTTTGTGTGGTAGTTGTGGTCTTACTTTTCTCGGATGTTTCGTTTATTTCTATGGTTTCTGTAATATAAGGAATAATTAATTTCGTTCGGATTTCGAAGGATATATAATGCTACGGGTTGTGGATTTTTTTGTCTGATTTATTTTCTTTGGCATTTGTGGATTTTTTTTCTCACCGTTTCCGTTTCAATTTTTCGCTAATAGATTTCATTCTGATAAGTGGTTCAGCTGTAACCCTTGTTTGTTTTACATGTTCACTTATTGCGTTTTTCATCCAGAATGATATCATTTTAATGGTTTATTTCCTTAACTTGCTTTTTATTGTATCATATAATGCGTATGTCGTGTTCTTTATATCTGTGATACTCGTTCCTGAATGCTAAGTCATTAATGATTATATCGCTTGGTGGTGTATGGAATGTGTCAATTTGGCGTCAAATGACGTTCTTCGACGTTTTGGTGTCTTATTTTATTCTGTAATATGTCAGTGTCTCTTTATGTTATCTATTAATTTACCAGCCAGTATCTGGGTTACTTGTAAATTTTTGCTGATGTAGTCTCGTTATGCAAACTACTGTGAACGCCCAATCCTATTAATTTACATAGTATACAAGCACTTTTTATAAGAACAAACTGGAATTGTAGTGTTCATTGATACAGGTTACGTAGTTCATCTATGTATGCACTGTCTGACTTTGTTTCTGCTTATATTGCTATAGATAATCTCCGATAAATTTTTTTTCATAAAGAAAGTGTGATATATTTCCTTCCTGTTCAGATAAAGACTTTAAGCTAATTTGTCAACTTGAGGGCATCTTTAGAGTTGTATACTTACTAAACCATGACGGTTGTGATGAAGGTTTTCTTCCAGAAATGGTCAAAGATTCGTCGATATGAATTGAAAAACCTTAAAAAATTCAAGATTACTAGACAGCTGTTTCGGTCTTGTTTGTGACCCTTCATCAATCAGTACAGACGCATGACGTCACTGAATGTCGAACCTGATACGTTTAAGTCACGAGTCAGGCTCGTTGACTACTCAATGAGTGTGAGAATATCTATCAGCCACTGAGTGAATTAACCTAATAGATTTATTTTCGTGTGATAAGACAACATGTGAAGTGCCAAAATTATCTAGTGGTTAACTGTATGTCCCCTGGTAAGGCGAAACCAACAGTTCAACTGTCAGGAGAGATTGTACTAATCAAATGAGTACTCTTATCCAGGTTCTAGATTAGATTAGATTAGACTAGACTAGATTAGATATACACAGCCACTCACGAGTGTTCAATACTTGCCATACTCTTTATTTTATCTTAGGTGGGATCGTTTGATGAATGTGTTAATTGTGAAGTAGTGTAGTTGTATTGTCTTGGAGAGTATTTTCAGGGCGAAGGCAGTTAGTTCACTTATCAAGGTGGTCTTCTCAAACTCTGAGAAGGAAGTGTGTAAGAGTGAACATCTGAATTCACGATAATGCATCCATCGTATCTACTAATGATATCAACTGTCATCAATAGAAGTTTGTATATTTATGAATTCAATAGAATCGACTTACCAGCTGAAGGAGATTTGGCTATTTTTAAGCATGCCAATGATACAGTAGTGTAGTGTAGTGTAGGGGTGAGACTGTGTCGAAAAGGAGGAACACTTTCTCTAAAAAATACACAAATTAGTTATTTGAGTACATGTGGTATGTTTGAGTTGTCAGTTTGTCTGGATTTCAGGTTAGATCTGGTCAGTAAGTAGAATCAGTTAGAGAATCGGTGAAGTTCAATGTTGGTAGTTTTCAGGATTACGCAGGAAAATCTCCACCAGGAGTGGTACCAG